GGCTTGGTTGTCTGCCCAGGGGGCAGTGGCTCTCCCATGCGCAGAGAGACGTCTGGCGGCTTCCAAAATGGTCTCAACTACATCGCCATCGACGTGAGGGACGAGCCGGGGCTGCCACCCCAGCCGCAGACACAGCACCCTCAGCCCGGAGATAAGACATCCTGGGGTCGGACCCGTAGTCTTGGGGGTCTCATCAGCGCCGTGGGCGTGGGCGGCACCAGCGGGGGCTGCGGGGGGCCGGGCCCAGGCGCCCTGCCCCCTGCCAACACCTACGCCAGCATTGACTTCCTGTCCCATCACTTGAAGGAGGCCACCGTCGTGAAAGGTGAGGCCCTTTGGCGCTGAGTCTGGTGGGAAGGAGGGACGGGGGCTCTGAGCGACTTTGGGTTTCAGGCTTCCCTCCTGGGGTACCTTGACCTAAATGCCGACGTTTTGGTTCGGTTTCCTGAACTTCTTTCTTTTTTTTGAGGGGAGCCTCACTCTGGCTGGAGTGTCATGGTAAGATTGCTGCTATCTGCCTGGCGGCCGCCTAGACTCCTGGACTGAGGCCTTCCCTCCACCTCCGTCTCCCAATTAGGTGAAACGACAGGTGTGCACTGCCAGGCCCAGACAATGATTTTATTTCATTTTTTAGTTTTTATAATTTGTAGAGACCATGTTTCGCCATGCTGCCTAGTCTGGTCTCTAACTCCTGGACTCAAGCAGTCCTCCCACCTTGGCCTCCCAAAGTGACGGGAGCTGCTGCACCTGGCCCGAGACTTCTTGTTTTGTTTGACGTTGGCTGCCAGGTTCTCCTCCTTCCACAGAGAACTTGCCAGCAACAGTCAGGTGGTCTTTGAGTTGAACGTGACGCTTTCCACATGGAACGGAGACTGGTGTTGTCTTAGGCCCGATGCATTTTTGTGTCCCACAGCCCTTGGCTTCCTGTCTGTCAACATGATGGAGGTTCTCCCAGGTTCTCCAGCCAGAGGCAGGTGGTGACACCCCGCTGTCTGGGTCTGGGTGGTGGCTGCCGAAGTCTGGGAAGGGCCTGAGGGCCTCACCCTTCCCTTCACCCTTCACCCCTCTCTCTGTTTCTGGGCCTGGGCCTCCGCGGATGCCCCCTGAGCCTGAAGGTTTATGAAAACAGACCTGAAAGTCTTTTAAGAAATGAGCATCCATTTTGGTAGCTGCTGGAAGGAGGAGTTACCATTTCCATTTCCACATACATGATAGGAGCATTTCCGCTAAAGGCATCCTTTTACTCTCAAAGGGGGGTATGGTAGCCCCGCCCAGACACAACCCAGGAGCGGCGATGCTCACCTTCACCTTGACATGGGGGACACCTGGAGGCTTTGCTAGAACACAACTCTCCGGCCCATGTTAACCCCCCAGTTTCCAATGCTGTGGGTCTGGGGTGCGGCCCAGAATGTGCATCTCTGAAAAGTCTCTGTGTTATGCCACTGCTGTGGGTTGGGGGACCACCTCTGAGGACCCAGCTCCAGATGACCCTCACCTGGGGAGGCCTTGAGCAATGATCTGTGGGGCCTCACCCTCAGGCACAGTAAAACATCAGATGGGCAGAGGCCAGGCACCAGCATTTCTCAGCGTTGCCCCGCGGATTTTAACGTGCAGCCAAGATTTAGAATCAGTGCTTTAGAGAAAACAAGCGAAAGACAGAAACATGGGTCTTTTCAAGAACAATCGGGTAGGAGGCTGCCCAGTATTGTTCTTTCCGTCCTCATCAAATATCCATGAGGAGAGAGCGCTGTGCTTACTTTGCAGCTGGTGTTGCATGCCGGCTGTCTCAAAGTTTGACTGGTGTTGGGGGGTGGGGGAATAAAAGAGCCCTGGATGTTCAGTTCGAGAGAGTTTCTTTTCGTTTTGTAGCTGTTTCTTTGCAGGGTTGCGGGCAGGGCTGAGGCCCTTGTGGGAGCTAGGGAACACACAGGAGCAAATAGTGCCACTTGGATGCTGTGTGAGAGGCCAGCCTGAGGTGTAAACAGTCTGTAAGGGTTATGAGGTGGCCATGGGGGCCGTGTGGGCATCGGGGTGCCTTTTGTTCCTAAGGTAAACAGACCGGTTTCATGCTGTCTAAATCCAGTAGCTGCTCTGTCGTATACATGGGACCGCCAGTCCATAGGCTCTGAGGTCATAGCTGTGGGGTGACTACCCTGTCGCCTTTTTTTCATCAAAGCCAGAGGACAGAAGAGGAAAAGATTCTCAGAGAATTTTCAGGAGGCGGATGCATCCACGCCTAATTGCATCCATTGGAAGTTGTCAGAATGTATCCCTTACACAGTAACTCTCAGCTGAAGGTCACTTTGGTCAGGGTTGCGTTGAGCACACTTGCGAGTTTGTCAGAGTAGAAGGATCAGCTGCCAAATGAGACATCGCCCATGTACATACAGCAGCAGACGTAAAATTGAGTGGGGTAAAATTTCGAACAGGACACCCTACACGCCCGCACACACATGCATAAATGTTACTTGGCATGCCCAGTTGGGTATAGGCCATTGTGCGCATGAGAGGGACTCCATTTTCCCTAAATCTGATTCTGATCAGGAAAACAGTCTGAGAACATACCGCCTTTTCCTGCTTTCAGTGGAGAAGGGGACGGACTTGGGGGCAATATCAGGTGGGCCTGGGAGTGGGTTCTGCCTTGATGGAGTTCGCGCCCACAGGCCTGAGCGACTCAAGGCCTTTCTGCTGCAGTTGACACATTCAGAAACAGGATTTATCTACTTGAGAATGCCCCTTTTGATGTAAAATAGTCCTTTTCCTTCTTAGAAGGGTGTCTGCCATCACACCCACACAGACTCTGGATAAACAGCACCCCAAACGACCCCCCCCCCCCCCTTTGCTGTCCAGCCACAGAGGATATATACTTTATATATTTTATATATTTTTGTGTTAGGGTTAGAGGTCGGCGTATCCTATAAGGATTCTGACCAGCAGGAGAGAAGTTTCTTTAGAGACCCAATGTAGCTTTTGTTTGACATTTCCCACCGGTGTAAAATTCCTTTCAGCCTCTAGGATTCTGAATTCTGAAACACAAACAACAGTGTGTCCTCTGTGGCTGGACAGCAAAGCGGGGGGGGGGGGGGGGGGGGGTCGTTTGGGGTGCTGTTTATCCAGAGTCTGTGTGGGTGTGATGGCAGACACCCTTCTAAGAAGGAAAAGGACTATTTTACATCAAAATAGATAACTGCAGTCAGTCCATTGTGCCAAAACCACATTACCAAAATATATACATCTGCCACATTGGATTTCTAGCAAACCAAGTTAGTTGAAACAGAGAACAGCAGAAAGGCCAGAGACATCTTAGTTCACGTAGTAGGAAAGTCGTGGGGTCTCGAGACAGCAAGGGAGCACTTGGACACGGGAGGCATGTCTGCTTTTTATTTAGCGGGCACATGCGCGTAGACATTTGTTTGTGGTGCCCATAAATCCAGAGTTCAAGCAGATAAGTGTCCTTTGAGAGAATGATTTATAGAAGCCGGGCTTGCAAAGCACGTCTTTGAAGATGAAGTTGAGACGGCACTTCCTGGGTGGCCCCCTGCCCCGCCTGGCTCTCAGAAGTGGCCTGTCTGTTTCCACACCCAGCTCCTGTGTCCCACGTGGGGAAGCCACTTGCTGAAGTGGAATAATGGGGGGGTTCCTTGGGTCCTGCTGAGTGTTGACACAAATGGGAACAGAGCAGTGGCGTTCCTGCAAGGTCTGATCCTTGTTTACAGCAGAGTTGGGAAGGGGGGTGGGGTTTCCACGCATGAGCCAATTGAAACGTCCGCCTCAGGTAGAGACAGATTTTTATTAGTCCAGAGCAAGCTCTAAGATGTGCCTCTTATTTGGGGGCAAGAGAAGGTAACTTATCAAGTGTTTTGTATGTATGTATGTAGAAAGACAAATCTAGCTCATCTGTTAAGGGTTTTGTTGTTATTTAGGAACTGGAAATATGTTACTGAATTTAACTGTGCTTTAAAACTGCTTTTTAAAACTAACTTTATATATTTTTGTGTTAGGGTTAGAGGTCGGCGTATCCTATAACAATATATGCTATTTTAGTGTTCCTCAGTAGTGGGATTTTAATTCTAAGATTGGTTTGTATATATGTATAAAACAGATTAGATAAGAATCACCACTGGTCTCATCTGTATTTAAATTTTGTCTAATAAAAGGACTATCAGTTCGTATCCTGGGGTGAAAGAGTTACGAGATAAGAGAGATGTTTCCAGAGGGACAACGAATTCCCAATTGATGTTCAAAAGTGCTGCCTTTAAGCGGGGAATTTGCGTATTTTTAGAAACAGTGAAGTGGCTTGACAAGCCACACAGGCTGTGTTTTTGCTGCTGTGGGTGCTGTTTTTTGCTTCAGCAGCTAGCCATGGGCGTTACAAGATAATATAGCCACGGCTCCTATCCTGCTCACAGGAACAGCTGACTAAGGTGCTAATGAAAACACACACAGGCTTTCGTGAATGAAAGTCACGTGACTTGTTCTGTTTCCTTTATTGAGAGAGAAACCTTTACAAAAATAGTACTTCATAGAAGGAAGTATAACACTAAACCAGGAATCAGGAAGCCAGGTTTCTAGTTGCTGATCTTAATGAGTCATTGTGTGGCTGAGGGCAAGCCACTCAATCCTTCCTTCTCACTTTCTCTGTCTGTAAAATGGGGGTAATTATAATCCTCTCTAGCTGTGTCACAAGGCCACTGGGAGGTAAACGAGATCATAAACATCAAGAGTGTTTTAAGTTCTTCTAAAGGAAGGTGCTCACCAATCCAATTGTTGATGCCTGCTGCTTTGAAACCATGAACATAGAGACAGGAAAGACGCTTTTGTAAATGGGGGCTCCTAAATTTAAAACGCAGAGCCCGGTAACGGAGAACACACCTTCCCGAGAAATGCCTGCTTTTATGACTTCACTGCTAGTTCCACTCCCATCTCAAAGAACCATTGTTTTCTTCCCCCCTTTATTTAAGATTCATAGCTAATTGCCAATTGTAACAAAGTTGTGTTTCAAACTACATGGTAAAGTGACAATTAAGGAAAACAGTATTCAACCTGAGTGCATGTTGACTGCACTTTTGATTACCTTTTATGACTTGTTTATAGATTTAAGAGATATTGGCAAGATGAAAATGTGCAATTAAAATACACATTTAAAAAAAATTGACTCTTAATGCAAGAAGCGTTAAAAGAAAAACAGAGCCCTTGAACTTTCAGCTGTTTAATTACCCATTGTTTAGTCTGGGGGCTCATCTTCGGGGTTGGTTTAATTAGAGAGGTCACTCCTGTAGTTTTGCTTTGTAGCTCCATGCTGTTTGGTTGTCAAGCAGGGCAGGA